AATCGCCGTTCCACTAACCGACCTGCTCAAGAAAAACAAAGTTCTTACTTGGACAGAAGAAGCAGAGGACGCATTTACCCAGCTTAAGTCCAAACTTATCTCATCTCCAGTCTTAAGGACGCCGAACTTCAAGAAACAGTTTATACTGCTTTGCGATGCAAGCCTGTATGGGCTTGGTTGTGTTTTAGCGCAAGAGAATGAAGGTGGAGTCGAATTACCGATAGCGTACATGTCTGAGAAACTGTCCAAGGCACAGCGAAATTATTCGGTTACCGAATTAGAGTGCTTAGCAGTCACCAAAGGCATCAATAAGTTCAGAGCCTACGTTGAGGGGCAAGATTTTTGTGTTATAACATATCAATGGATGATGATCTGTTATAACTTCACTTCAATGGATAATGCGACAAAAGGACTTGTCTGGCCGTCTAGCCAGATGGTCCATTCGTTTGCAAGGTTTTGCATTCACGATCAAACATCGCCGTGGATCAGAAAATGTTGTTGCCGATGCACTTTCGCGTCGCGAAGAAGTAGTATCTGACATAGCTGATGGAGGACCCATTATTGATCTAACATCAAAAGAGTTTAATTCAGAGCAGTATCTCGAACTGAGAAAACAAATTCTTGACAACCAGTCAAAACTTCCGGATCTCAGGGTCGTGGATAGTTTTGTGTATAAGAGAACAGAACCAGCGAAGGGAGATGTGTTGCAAGACGAGGAGTCATGGAAACTTTGGGTTCCAATCAACCTTGTTGACCAAGTTTTAGCACGCGCGCACAATTCATCCGATGCTGCACATATTGGCATGAACAAAATGATCGAGAAGCTCAGACGTCATTTATTCTGGCCAGGAATGGTTACTCAAATTCGCAGCTTTGTCTCAGATTGTTCTATTTGCAAGTCAACAAAGAGCCCTAACAAAGTTCTTAGACCACCCATGGGGAGACCCACAACTTCGGATCGTCCATTTCAGAGGCTTTACATGGATCTTCTTGGCCCATATCCACGGTCCAAGAAAGGAAATATAGGACTTTTGATAATTGTAGACCATTGTTCGAAGTTTCACTTCTTACAGCCGTTGCGGAAATTTACTTCCGAAAGGATTTGTGATTTTCTCGAAAAGCACGTTTTTTATACCTTCGGCACGCCAGAGTCCATACTGACGGACAACGGGTCGCAATTCAAATCAGGGTATTTTAAAGCTTTTCTAACGAAATTTGGAGTCAAGCATATTTGCACAGCGATTTATTCACCTCAAGCTAACGCAAGTGAGCGAGTGAATAGATCGATACTAGCTGCAATTAGAGCTTATATCGGTACTGACCATACGAATTGGGATACAAACATAGACGCGATAAGCGCATCCTTGAGATCTAGCATACACCGAAGTACAGGATTTTCTCCGTATTTTCTTTGTTTTGGTCAGAACATGATAGCCAACGGACAGGATTATGAGTTGCTCAGAAATTTGAATTTGTTAACCGACGATGTACCGCTAAAAACAGCTGACATGTTGCAAATAGTGCGTCAGGAGGCTAAAAAGAAGATTGCAGAATCACACGCCGCAAATGCTAGGGTATATAACTTGCGCAGCCGAACCGTTCACCTGAAGATCGGAGACACCGTATTCGCACGCAGTTTCGCTCAAAGTAATGCGGGGAAAAAGTTTAATAGCAAACTCGCGCCTGTTTTTATTAAAGCAACGGTAACAAAGAAGATCAGCCCAACATATTACGAGTTAGCAAATGAAGCAAATAAGTCCTTAGGCGTATACCATTTGAAAGACATTAGAACCTGAATTGTAGATAATATGGTGTTTACTGACCCTTGTTTTTCTTTCAGTTAACCCCTCGGCGAGTTCAATCTCTTGCTGAGTTAACTGTGGTGTGGGGGCCAGTCGAAAAACGAAAATATAAATTTGTTTTCAGAAGTAGAGAAAAGTCATTTTTCATGTAAATGAAAGCATGAAGCATCGTCTAGCTGAACCGCTCGCACAACTAGCGTACCAGCATAGCGCCCTCTCTTTCTCGCGCGCGCCGAAAAGCGTGTGAAGGCAGGAACGTAAACAGCACCTGGAACGATCCCGTTATGTGAAGTTTGGCAACGCCGCAGCTTACAGCCAGCTTCACGCGACGAAAGTCTCGTTCACTTCTTTTCAAACTCTGAATAAGTACAGACGTACAGTACAGACTGTCGTAAATTCAAAAGTAAGAACGGAAAAGTACAAACCACGTGTTTGAAATTTGTGAACTTTTGATCCAACCTAACGAAGTCAACGGTTTTAAGAGGATTATTAGTGTTTAGAGCCCAACTACTTGTATATATTAACACCAAGCTGAACCGTGTAGGCAGTGTAAATAGAAAAGTGTATTTTTTTTAATAGGAAAAGAAAGAAGATTCCGTCGAAGCCGGCAAAATCAGCGCCAGCTCGGCGTGATTACGCCGCTTCTAATTCAATCGGCCACCGAGCGGCCAAGACGAGAGTTTTTGAGAGAATTTAAGCCAACTTGCAACGGCGGAGCAAAAGGCGCCCGTATTCTGGAAGGTGACCGAGGCTGCAGTTTGCCCACCAACTACGCAAATCTGTAGCTCGGCTCCTCACCAACCGCATGCCACGTGCGGCTTAAAACCGTCTCGAAGATCAACCACCTGAATGACGACTTAAAGGAGTACATAACCTCACCAGCACGCGCCACGCGCGGCATCCACCTGTTCAGCTCTGGCTAAGCCATAGAGCGACAACGTGGAAGGTTACTGTACCAGGACTTAACCTCACCCCGACCATTGATGGATCACCGCATCACCTCACCAACCCGCGCCACGCGCGGCATGTAAGCACGCAGCTCTGGTTTGACCATCGAGCGATCTTCTGGAAGGTGATCGGATGAGGAAGTGAGCGACTACCGGATGTGACACCTGCTACGCGCCTACATCGCCCCACCAACACGCGCCACGCGCGGCAACGAAGCACCCAGCTCTGGCTAGCCCATAGAGCCGATATTTTGGAAGGCGAGTCGTAGCGCAGCAACTCGGCACTTCACCCGTACTGGCCACGTGCGGCTTGCCGATGGAATAAGCCTCGCAAAAGGCTGATGATTTAAAGGAAGGACAACCCAGAGGAACAGACCTGTTGTCTGACATGCGAAGACGCAGATCCCTTCGTGTGTAGTAAGCTGATCAGGAACCGCACAGGAGAAGCAGTAGTGGATCGAGGATGGGAATCACTCGCTGCGACGTTTGCTAGATTAGTGTTTGCCTATTTTAAAGTCAAGCTTCACGTTTTTGTAGAGTAAATTTACGGTACTTGCTTACGTAGCGTACCTTTGTATTGATTCAGTAGAAATTCTTATTAGTTTTCTGACAATGACCACCCGTGTAAGCCACGCAATTAATCTCGTCAGAAATTAATATGTAAATTTGTCTAAAAAGCACCCTAGCACAGCGTCTTCGATGGGCCCAACGAACCTGCATCGCCGGAGTTTTGCGTAAGTGAGATCTTTAAACCACTATATTGATTTCCTGACATTTACCGATATATTTGAACGGTATTATTATTGTGTGAGCCTATTAAACGGAAGGTTATGAAGTCAGTGTAGCTATTATTTGTAATTCGGAATTGAGTTTGGTATTGAAGAGAAAGAATTGAAGTGTATTGAAATTATGATTGAATTTAATGATCTTTTGTTAATTATGGTAAATATTTCAACTATGTTTGAATAGATTTGTAAATCTAGGTTCGTGATTGAACACACAATGCTGGAGCTATATGAATTAAAAATGTAATGAACCAATAAACATTGAATAAGGGATAACCGTCATCAATATCTCACGCGTTATCATGGTAGGGAGGGTACAGAAAGGGGGCGAATAACATCAAGCCACCCTAACTTCCGGTATTTCTTGACCTGCTTTTGCCTACAATGTCAGTCCGTTTACCCGAAGTCCGTATACACCCATTTATATTTGTCGAGCCTTGTAGATACCGTTTAGTGTACTTAAAACTTTTTCACGTAGTACAGCGCGGGTTATAGAAAAGACAAGGAAGACCAACGACAATCCGACGAGCTTAGCACAGAGCAATGCTAGAAGTGCACGAAACCGAATCTTTCTAAACACTATGTTTCCCATAACTTAGTGAGCGTAGGTCTAGAACCAAGGGGCAACCTGAGGCTCGAACCGGCCGTTGCTGCCTACTACATTTTATGTTAGTAGTTTTTTTAGTAACAGCATCCGAGTGTGTATGCCAATCCTTCACTATCGTGGTGCTGTCTACTACAAACGTCATATCAAATTTTAAAAACTTAAAAAACATGTTTTGGACAAACTGACAAACTGACAAACTGACAAACTGACAAACTGACAAACTGACAAAAAATAAAAAATTAAAAAAAAAATTTAATTTTTTTTTTGGGAAAAAAAAAAAAATTTTTTTTTTGGTTTAAATTTTGAAGGGGGGGTTGGATTTTGAAAAAGGCCCCTCATTCGACGGGTATTTTTAAAAGGAATACAAAAAAACATTGCGAGGGGGCATTTATCCCCACGGCCCCAACAGCTCCAAATTTCGAACTTTCACTTTTTTTTTCCCTCTCTCCCAACCAATTGATTTTCTTAAAGTCTTGGTATGCAATCCTGTTAGTTTTCGTAATACCTTTCGATAGGTGTATCATTCATTATGATCGGACCATCACAGTAGATTTTCATTTCTTCGTGTATATATAGTAGTCGCCTTCGCACACTCTCCTGGTGCGCTTCGTCACTACATGGACTGCCGTCCATAGTGATTCAGCACGTGAAATATAACACAATAAATTCTTATATCTCATAAATCGAAAAGGAAAGGTAAAACTTCTTAAACTGCGAGGTATCAGACTCGCTTAAAGAATTCCCTCAACCTTCGAGTGTGTGTTGGAGTGTGCGACGAGAATGCGTTAAATTAAATCAAAAATGTATGAAAGTCACAAGCACACACCGGGAGTGAGGAAAACCCCCGAGCTGTACTTACGTATCCCCAAGCCAAGTGCCAGGACCAAAAGGACGAAGCCGATGCTGACGCGCAGCCAAGACGCTGGTCGGGATGTATGGAAAAATCGGCGACACCACGACGCTCCTCCTCCCGTGCGTCGTCCTGCTCGTCCTGTTCGTCCTGCCAATGTCATCTCGGCTGTCAACGTGGCTGTGCGGGTCCTGGCTCTGCTCCTGCTCCTGCTGCTGCTGCTCTCTTCTGGCTGAAGTCCTGCGTGGCAGTCCCAGTGGCCCAGTTCCTGGCTGCAATGACACTTACAGCGCCTTTTGTGCGCTCATTGTCCGCCTGCCTCCAATTGGGACTCGTTTGCGGCATCGAATCTGGCTCCTCTGGCTCCGCTGGCTCCTTTGGACCAGAGACTGGATCTGCTGATTGCACTGCGCCGTCTTGGCTGGCAAACTTTGTCGCATTCTCCGCTCGGTTGTCGGTTCTCCAAATCCCAGTCAAAGTCGCAGATAAATAGGTTTATTGAATTAATACACTTGGGGCTGGGATGGGTTTTATCTAGCCTCTATCCTATTTCATTTTATTCGATTTTATTTCGGGTTTTTCCACAAAAAATTGCAACTCTTCTCTATGGGTAGTCTGCCACAAGTTTTCCGATGCGTTTTCTCAAGCGATTTTCTTGCAGTCTCATTGTTTGCTTACTTTGTCTGTCCTCTCGGTTTGCACTATTTTTGCTTTGCCTGATTTATATATTTATTTAAGTGTTTTCGCCTTTGTTGAGTGGTAAACTTTTATTGCCGCTGCAGTGGCACCAACATACACAAATAAACTGCCATCAGAAGTCGACTTTATTGCATGGTAATCCAATTTGTTTATTTGGCTTTTCGTTCTTCTCGAAAACTTATTTAGTTGAATTTCACAAATCCGTTTAAGCCCTAATAAACAAATTTACCTAACAGTTTTGTTTGCCATGGGATTATATTGTTCTTATTAAAGTGGTTTTTAAATAACCAAATAACAGACTATTAAAAGCACACAAAAAAAACCACACATAAAAATTCATAAATAGCTAAAAGGCTAATTAAATTGAAACTTCAGCATTTTAAATTGCACAAGTTTAAACTAAATTGCCTTAACTGCATGGTAAAAAAACTTTATGAAGAATAATTTATCATCTCTAACTTTTATTTCAACAGCTCAATCAATGAAAAAGCCAAGTGCTTGAACTTGCCAAGAAATATAAATCAACTTATTTCCACTTAAACTTTCATAATCGTTTTGCAATTAATAACATAGAATTTTCTTTTCCGCCGCCTCGCAAAAGTTAATAACAGAACTATCGCACAATGTTCTCGATGACTAATGGGCAAAAGTTTTGGGACAAAAAACCTGAAGAACTTGGACCATTTATAGTGTTTAACAAGTTTCACACTGCCTTTCGATGGGCTTTCTTGCCGTTTAAGTTCGTGGTCATAGGTTACAATAGCCAGATGGCCATATGGCGGGGTTCTAAACCTATTGAGGTTCTTTTATGCGTATCTTGGCTGGCTTATATTTAATGATTTAACACGTGAGAAAACATTTACACTTCAGTAACAATTTATCGCATAATCCGACTTGAGAATTTTATTTTTTTCCTTCGCCTCCTTACGCTTTTTTCTTCGTGACGCCCGAAATGATGCACAATAATCCCTTTTTTACGTTACGGCGGACGCTTACGCATCCTTGGAGAAATCCTCTGTTTTTTGTTTGGCCCTGTTTTTGCTCCTCGGGTCTTCGGTTCAGCGCGGCATTCTAATATCCATTTGAATACGGCGAGAGCAAACAAATTTTAAAAGTGATTTCGGCAAAAGACACTCGACAGGCGGCACTGCAGGACACTGAGACACAGGACACCCAAGGGGACATCAAGTGGTTTAACTTTGTCTTAATTTTTCCTTTCTCTGTTTCCCCACTTTTGCATATTTTTCTTCGTTTTTGTTTTCACATTTTATTTTCTTTTGCCTTCTTATTTGATCACAAGTCCTATTCAGACATCGCGTAATTTGACTTCTGGTTGCGGTTTCGGTTTCCTTTCCCCATCCGAGTCACGTCCGCGCGCACCGGATTCAAATTTTCGACTGAAACGCGTCCATGCAGCGCCATCCCACTGACTTTCTAACATTCCGATTCAACGCTATTCCGTCAAACGTTCCGCATCGGCTTCTCCTCTGTTTCACATCGGCGGGGAGTTCCTCGGTTCGGATTCCGGTTCGTTTCGAGTTTCCCCAGCTTGAACTGGGCTTTTGGAATCGAACCTTCGGCTAATTTGCCGGCTGTTTGTCTGCGCCTGCGCACTATTAAAACATTGGCAACAGAGGATTGAAGATTTATTTTTCCTATTCGTCGGATTTTCGGACTATTTGTAGATGTCCAACAAAACACTTGTTTCCGCCGGCCAGTTGCCTCCTTTTGTCGCTTATGAATATCAATTGGCCAGCTAAACGGGATCAACTGTTGAATATTGCACGGAATATCGATAATTTATTTTATAAAGAATGCCTATTTATAACGGATAGTTTTCAAAACTGAGTGATCTTGTAATTTTATAAATAACTGTAAAGCAAAAATTTTAGGTTCAGTATCTGCTCCCCTGAAAAGTATTTATATATTCCAATGCTTTTTTCTTGGTTTACATTTTAAATGTTGTAACTATTTACCGACTGTTTTAGGGAAATAATCATAATCCTATCTTTAAAGGTATTTAAAGAGACTCAATCTGAGATGTACTCCTTGGTCTCTTATATTTCCTCAAAGGCCAAAGTCACAAGGCAGCCAACAAATAATTGGAGTCGTGCAAATGGTGACCCCGTTAATCACAGTGGTGACCAAGTTGGCGTTCGGTCACTAAATTAGCTCGATGTCTCTTGAAAAATCATCGCCTTTAGTGGCCGGAATTTACTGCCAAGGAGGGGAGATATCTGTGGTCTCGCCATTGCGTAGTATGTGACAATATGCCATTATGTAAGGGGGAGTGAGCCAATATGCGCGACTTGATGAACGACGGCCTAGGACTAAGTATAATCTGGTGTGCTTTGTTGTCAAAGAGCAAGCAACAAATAAATATTATTGAACTTTTAAGTCCCCCGGGGGTGGCCAGCAGGCAATTGTCGCCCCAGTGCGATAACGTAGCCAGAGGCAGTGGGCTTGGGCGTGAAGATAGGGTGCTGAATAACCTCACACAGGACCAACATAAATTCTGGCACAGTTCAATTTATTGTGTATTGACACAGCTTACGGAGAAACAAATAAAAATGTTTTCGAAAGTGCGGGTGCTTGTCCTTCCCCGCCCTGTCCTGCTACATAGGACTGCTCTCAAAGGCTCCAGGAATGCGGACGAGTTCCCCGGTTACTTTCCCTCTACCTACGAGTCCTCGAAGTCAGGGACCTCGTTGGCATCCATTGTTATTACCTCTTTGTTGTGTTTACACGCCATTTGCGGTATTTCACCCACTTCCCCTTCCATGTGGCTCACCTCGTCTCGCCGGGGGCAAAAGATCCTGCGGGAAGGTGTTGGGCGGCATGCGGGCCAGAGGTTAGGGTAAAAGGCTGGCTGTCGTAAAAGTATATTTGAAATGCAAATGCCGGCGGGCCTTAAAATGCTCAACTTCTGGCTCACAAAATAATCAAAATATACTTTATGTCGCCTTTGAGCCAGTGAAAACAGTTGGGCCAGTTATCGCAGCCAAAAGCCAGGCAACAAAAACCAAAAGCTGCTGAAAGCCCATGAATCGAGTTGTGAAATAAAACAAAGGATCAAAATGTTAAACTGTTAAAATGCAGTAAGACGACTGCATTATACTCTGAAAACAAAAAGACTTAATTGGGGTTTACCGATGAATCTATACACATTCCATTTATATAATAAATTGAAAATATTTATATTTTCTTATTAAAAAAAAGGGTCCATATCGAACATTAAACAATTTGGCTGTGTTCCATTCACACATAAAACAGTAAGCCAATTTAATTTTAAAGCAATTTATAGTGAATATTCATAATTTTATAAATGGCCAAAAGTCAGTGGCAAATGTATTTCTAAAGACCCCACACAAAAAAGTACCTTTTATCACAAGCTGCTGGCTCTGCATTAGCTAAACATTGCGCAGCTGTTAATTTCAACGTTTTTACAAGAGTCGTAAATAAATTAAAATGTTTTGTTGGAGGCAATCGCATCTACACGAAGAGCTAAATTGAAACAAACATTAGGGAATTGGGTTGCTCGTTTCGAGGAGTGACTCTCAACTTTTTCGCCTGTCAATATATTTCAATATCTACATTATGATTGCTTTTCTCAATTTTTCCAGATTTTCTCAGACTTCAATTTTCTATACGTATGCATATAAAAATATTTTTCTCTTTGTCCATCTCCTTGCTCGTCTTGGAAGGGTGCCCGACTCAGCGCTCCGAATATGCGAATTTTCGTTGACATGCTAGACAATTTCTGATAGATATACATACATACACTTGCATAGATACATGGGTAAATCTGGTTCAAATTCATCCTTCGTCTAGAACGGAAAATGCATCTACGATATTAAATATTTGTCAAGAGAAGCTACGGGTGAGTTCGAGGAGATGGTCCGGAAAATACCAATATTCATAATGTTGTGACAATTTAGTAGCAATTTATGCACTTAGGCTAAACAAGGAATAGCTCGTATGCTGTGCTGAAAACGAGAACCGCCACAAAAATTAAAATCAAAATTTTATTTTTAAGTTGCAGCTTTAAATTTCAGTCTTGGTTATATTTTTTTTTTTTTTTTTTTTTATTTTTTTTTTTTTTTTTTTTTTTTTTTTTTTTTTTTTTTTTTTTTTTTTTTTTTTTTTTTTTTTTTTTTTTTTTTTTTTTTTTTTTTTTTTTTTTTTTTTTTTTTTTTTTTTTTTTTTTTTTTTTTTTTTTTTTTTTTTTTTTTTTTTTTTTTTTTGTTAAATTTTTTTTTTTTTTTTTTTTTTTTTTTTTTTTTTTTTTTTTTTGGGGTTTGAAAAAATTATTTTTTTTTTCTAAAAAAAAAAAAAAAAAAAAAATTTAAAAAATTTTTTTTTTTTTTTTTTTTTTTTTTTTTTTTTTTTTTTTGGGGATGTTATTTTTTAAATATCTGAATTTCAACGAAAAAATAAAAGAAAGGGTATAGGATTTTTATTTTTTTAATATTATAAAAAAAAATATTTTTTTTTTTTTTTTTTTTTTTTTATTAATTTTTTGGGGGTGGTTTTTTTGGTTTGACGAAAGTTTTTTTTTTTTTTTTTTTTAAAAAAATTTTTACCAAGAGAATATAAAAGAAAGCTACTTCAAAGAAATACAGAAATATCAACTGTAGCATAAAAAACCAAAGCTAAGACCAATTTATACATCTGTGGTTTTGGCAGCAAAAGCAATGCTTATTGTTGTAAGGAACCAGTTAAAGTTCGAGAATCAATGGGTTTTCCAGTGAAACCACCAGCTTACAATCCACCACACTCGATCACAGTGTTCAGGCAATCGAAGCCAACGCACATTAAGCTTCACGCTTTTCATTTCAAATGCCTTAGAGAAGGAAACCCCATAGAAAACGAATCGAAAGCTGCAAAGTAAATTGCACTTAATCGAATACTATGTAAATGAACTACAGATGGAAACAAGTGAAAACGTAATAGTCGGGCTTGAGATACCTAGTACTTAATAGTTATAACCTTTATTGCACTTTCTTCACAGATAAAATAATGTATTAAGTTTTAAATATTTTGGTTATTTTGTTTTAATATTTTTATTACTTTTTATCATTTTCATCATAGTTGTTTCCCATTTTATTTGCAGTGGCATTTTAGTGGAGTTGACTGAGGTTGATTGTAACCGCTTTAACCCACTTTTAGCACCAACAAAATCCTCTCTACTAACGGTCTTTGTTGCATTTTTTCCCCGTCGAACTGGTCACCCTTTTGCCCTCTTTCCTCGCCATCCCTTTGTGGTGAATCGGGATTAACGGTAAATATAATTACTGCACCCTTTAGTTGGCGCAGGCAAAAAGGTGAAGGAGACACTGGCAAAGCGACGTGACGTTAATGACATTGTCGGTTGGGGTTGCGAACTCCCCCAACGGGATGTGGACCCTTGGCTAATTTGTTCTATGTTCGACTTGTGCCTAATTAATGAAGATTGTCTCGCATAATCGTAACGGTTAAATTTATATTAATTGTTGTGGGTTTTGGTTGAGTTCTTAAGTGGTAAGCTTCCATTTTTTCTTAAACGACTTGGCACTAATGGGAAATTTAAGATATTAAGACACGTGCGTTTTGTATTTTGAGTAGATACCAACGTTTTACGTTGCAGTTCAAAATTTAGCTTGACTTCTGGTGCTGCTTCTTCTATTTTATATGTAAGATTTTTTTTTATTAAGCGATACTAGATTATTTTGTTCACAGGGCGTACGTAAAGACATTGCTCATGGGAAAGACCCTGTGAGCTTTCAAACCCCCAGCTAAATTGGAGGTGTACCGTACCTGTTCTAAAAACTAGCGGTAGCTTTTTCCAAGCCCCCTAGTTGGCAACTCGCGTTGGCAATACCAGTTAACGCTTATCAGTTGGTAAGAAGAGTGTAAAGCTCGTTTCTCGAGCGAGCGAAAGAGAACGAGCTCTCTATAGCTACGTAGTGCTATAGAGCTCTATAGCTCTCTATAACTCTCGTACGCTCAGTTGGTACTACGTCGCCGAGAATTCGCCGCTTCAGTTGGAATCCAAGTTTTAAACGGCACGGTCGTGTGGTCGGTGAAAAAAACCCCTATTTTGTTGGCCGGAAATATCACAGTTCTTGGAGAAACAAGCGGGTCCAATTCCTGAGTTCTATTTAGTTCTTAGTTTCGTTCACGTTTTT